AAAAAGATTAGATTAGAATTTATAATTTCCATTTGTTCAAAGTAACAGCTTTAGTTATTTCAAATCCTGAGGAATGCTGGGAGCGTGCACTGTAGCCTTACCTAGAGCAAAACCATCTATTTACAGTATGTGGCTTTCAGCAAAGAGAAAACACCAGTCAAAATTAAACGACTGAATTAAAATCCCAGAAACTTACGACAAACTCCTGCAGCGCGGTACTGGCTGTGCGCACAGACTCAACGATGAACAGTCTGACATTACATCTATTTAGTCTATTTATAAATGTGTAAAGCAGTAGTTTTTGTTTGGTAGCACCACCTGATCGCCCCATTTGATGAGCATAAACAACCTCAAAAGCAAGTGCCAAGGATAACTAAGAGCAAAGCCTCGGTACCACCGGGCTTTCATGCAGGAAGTGTCAAAGAGAAAGCATCCTTACCCAAAGAACTATGATTGTTGGACAGAGTGCAGCTAGTAAGTACAAAGAAAAAAAAAACTTTAGAGAAAAATCTACCTGTATTGATGGGAGTCTTCTTCCAGGCGGCAGCGCTGCCCTTGCTGACAGGTCTCTCAGCATGCTTACCTGGCCTACTCCCAAGTGCTGCTGCAGACGATGCATTCTGCAACTTGGGTGACTGGCTAAATGCATGCAACACTCCTCGCGGAGCTCCAGGAGGACCTCGAGACATCTGGCTAGAAGTCTGGCAAGAGAGCAAACGGTAAGACAGGCGTAGCAGTGTCCTGTCTCTCAAGTACAACAGCCCCGATGCATCTTTACTGCCCCTCTCTCCTTTCTTGGCTGCTTCTGCCAAGCCCGGAATGCATTACTGTAGTTTCAGGGCTGAAAACTTCCAAAGACATCTCTACAACAAAATAAGAATCAGCTTTCTACTTCTGAAAGCACCTGTAAGGATGAGGAATTATAATCAACTGCAAAGCAGCAAAAAATGTGCTGTGTAAGCATCTCCACGCACAGTCAGCCCTCCACTTCCCTGTCCTAAATAACCACTACCTTCATTATTTCAACTCAAAGCAGCACTTAAGCAGCTTCTGTCTTCCTGCACCTGAAAGGTGCTTTTACAAGGTGTGCAAGATCCAGTCCCTGTCACAGATGGTTGCTACCATCACCTTAAAACTTCACAAGCAACATGATGTGTT